GTTCATGACCAATCGCCTTCTCTCCAGAAAGCAATTCGTGAGTACTACTTTCCCTGTTTGGTCAACTAGAAAATGCAGGAAAAAGGACATAGAAAATTACCCAGATGTGTGTTTTTTACCTGGTCGGCTGATTTTACTGTGTGATTTATTGGGTTTGATGTGTAGGTCATCGATGTTCTGCATCCTGGCCGACCCAATGTCTCAAAGGTTTGGTTTCTTTCTTCGAGCTTGTTGTTTCTTTCAATGGGGAATTGTTTCTGTATATTTGATGCTGTTGTACTCGCTAATAGGAAATGCGTACGGTTTCGATATTGGTTTTGAAAATATATAATTTGAAATCATGGGTTTGTCCAATTTTTTAGGACTGTTTTACTACAACAACAACAAAGCGTTTTCCCACTAAGTGGGGTCAGCTTTATGAATCTTAGAACGTCATTGCGCTTGGTTCTGTGTCAATTCTTTTAGGACTGTTTTGCTGCTAGATCTATTTATTTTATGGATTTTATGGTTTTGTTAGAGGGGTGGGAGAAGTACAATTGTAATAATGGGGCAAAGAAGTGTTGATTGAAATGGGTTTCTGTTTCTTTTCGTAATGAAGGCGGAGTTGAAGGAGAAACTTGCGAGGTTGTACGAGGTGAGGGACCCAAATGCCATCTTCGTATTCAAGTTCCGCACCCATTTTGGAGGGGGGAAGTCTACTGGTTTCGGTTTGATCTATGATTCCGTAGAGAATGCCAAGAAGTACGAGCCCAAGTACAGGCTGATCAGGGTAACTTATCTTATTCGCTCCCATCCCATTATGTGGTGCTTGCATATTGGCAAATATCTGTTTTTAACCTCTGTAGTCATTCAAAATGTGCATTAAATGTATCTTTATACTTCAGGCCCTTTAAGGGAAGTGATTAAATCACAGGCCACATAATCTCAACCACAGGATTTCATTAAAGCCAAATCTAACGGTCCTGAGGATATCCCCATTTTTTTTTTGAAAAATGGGGATCCCTTCCCTTAAAGACTTCCCTTTATACTTATCTGGTATGGCCGGTTCCATTGTATGGTGTTGGATTTGAACAAATCCAATACGTATTGGGGTTGGAACTGGCAGAAATGAGACTAAGAGAGAGAAACAGGATCTTAAAAATAGCAGTTCTCTGGAATGAGCTTGATACAAAATTTCTCTGAGGTTGTTCATTAACTGTTGGAGGAGGTTCATCTGTCTATTTAAGTTCACTGATTTAGTCAGTATTTGATTCATGGTTTTAGAGTGGGTTCTTACTTAATATCGTTGAGTATAATGTTTCTTTTCGCCACTCTCCGTATATTTATATTGTTCCATAATTGGGGTGCTGATTTAAACAATTGCTTGCAATGTTACAAAAGCGGGTTTTGGTATTCCTTTTGCTGATTTGTGATACTGTGTAGTTTCAGTCTATAGGCATCTTTCGGTCAAAGAATCTGTCGTTTGTTTGGCATGAAATGCATATGGCTCTCAAAGCTTGTCTCTTTGACCTTATAAATTTTGAGATCTCTCTCAACATACTCATATATACTTTGTACACACACACACACACACACACATATATTTGTCTGTTGTTATCTCTCAAACTTGGCTACTTGTGCAGAATGGACTGGATACAAAGGTTGAAAAATCAAGGAAACAACTCAAGGAAAGGAAGAACAGAGCCAAGAAGATTCGTGGAGTTAAGAAGGTAAGAATATTGTTATTGTTTTGTCCTGGTTAGTGCTAGTAAAATGTGACCGTACAGTCAGGGAATGTATTACCTTAAGCAGTTGGTACGCCCTGGAATTGGAAACACTGGTTATCAAACCTTTTCAACGTTTTCAGCTAAAAGTTTTACCCTGATGTTTTCTTGAGTTGGTTTAACATTTTCAAATGTTATATGTGCAGACAAAGGCCGGTGATGCTGCCAAGGCGAAGAAGAAATGAGCTTCTGCATGTTTTGGGATCGTATGTGTTCGCAGTAGGGTTCTGTGTCATCAGCCTAGCTGCATCTTGTTATTTTCTTTTGTTAGCGAGCATGAAATTTTGGGATGTTTTAATTTCATAAAAAACGTTATGATGTTTTATGAGTTGCGGAATGTTATGTATGTTCTAATTATTCAGTAACGAAATTTAAACCATCAATTCGCATGTTTATTTACTTGGAACGAGGGAAATGAGTTTGAGATGTTCAGAATACGGGAGGGAAATGAACTTGCATGTTTTCATTTCTAGTACCATGTGTTAGTAACATGGGGGAAGTCTGGAATTTAGAATAGCCAATTCCTACGCACTTACCTAACCAACCTTGCAAAGAAAATGAAATCTCGGATGTTACCTAAACATCCGAGATTTCCTTTCCTTTGCAACTCTTGGGCATGCTTCCTTGTGAGAGTGTCTAACCAACCAGTTGGGCATTGCTTCTTTGTGAGAGCGCCAAACCGGTTATTGAAAGTTGTGCTCACACAAGCTTAAATGATACTCAAATACAATGGGGCTTGTTTCTTTCGGAGAGTGCATGATCAGCTCGATGGTCAAGCACTCCCCGAGGAATGAAATAAAGAAAATTTGTTAAGTCTCAAAATGCAATTCGTATTGCATGCATGAACCATGATGAATTCGATTGAATAAGGAGTAGTCAATTGCATTCTCAATTATTATATTTTTCATTTTCATTTTCAACGTTTTGTTTTCAAGTAAGTAAAAATGTCAATATGTTGCTATTTTTCTAAGGAAAACTAATGAAAAGGGCTTGAAAACTTTGAGTTTTAATGATCAGGACAAAATAAAGGGTAAAGTGAATAGTACCAGGATTGATTTTTTAGTGTAAAAATGTGGTTTTTCGTTAAAGTGAACAGTACCGGGTGCTTTTCGTTAAAGTTCCCATTTTTCTATCCATAGTCCATTCGGTTATTCATTTTGCTATGTCCTTAAAGGCATGATTATTGCATTGAACCACTTACCATTTTATCTTAAGATTACTTACCATATCCGGCCAAACAAAACGGATTACTTACCTTAACCATGATGTCAACGTCTTTAATTTTTTTAATTTTTGGAGCAAAGGTAACATGCATTACCAACAACAAACATTACAACACAGAGGCCCAAAAATAAAAACACAAACAAACAACAGAGGCGCAACCAAAGTTGAGACCAAAACAAAGAAAACACAGAAACAACCGGAGCCGCTGCGTCTTCCGCCATAACTGTCGCTGCAACTACCAAAACAGCAGACGTGCATGTCGATCCAACCAAATTCGATCCCCAAACAAAGCCTCACCTCATCGATACCAGCAGCCAATTCCCAGCTACAGACACCAGAGAACCTACAACCAAGTGAAAGAAGCTCATGGTAGTCCACGAGCAATATTGCCAACAAAGGCAGATAACAAAGATAAGGTGGGGGATGCAAGGAGCACCCGACCCAGTGCAAGCATCAGATCAAAGCACACCAACTCGAAACACAGCAACAAATCATGGCAAAGGGTGGCTGAAGCTTGGAAATTGGATGAGAGGCGACAAAAGGGAGAGAAGAAGGCAAATCAGCCAATAAAACCAGAGAATAAAACAGCGGATGGAAGAGGAGAAAGAAACAAAAGAAAACCCACCAATCCTAGTCGAAGCTAGGATTGACGGCACCGGAATTGGACTAGATTGAGAACCACTCATACAGATCAGTGAGATTAACTCTCACACAGAAGGAAGGTCTCTCACGGCGAGAGAAAGGAAAGTTTTACACAAAGCTTGTAGGATTACTTTGCTAATTAAGCTTTGCCCCTATTAGGCTTGTTGGTTGGTGGGTGACAGAATCCATTGGTCGCATATTACAAGACAGGATCCAACTGTTTTTTGCGACTCATTGTCGACCCAATCATAAACAAACAAACTCACAAGTCTTTCGGTCAAGTTAGGAACACAAGTTTTCAATGTCCTTGACTTCGTTCGGACTTAGAATGACTTACAGTTCGTTTGGATGTACATTTATAATAATTGAAAGCGTTTTTGGTGAAAATATTTTTAGAATAAATATTTAGCAAAGATGCAAGTAATCTTGAAAACCCACTTAAAGTGTTTCTTGGAAGAAGCACATAATTTGTGTTTATTGCAAAAAACACTTTAAATGCTTTTGGAACCAAAAAATATTTTATCTAAAAGTGCTTTTAGTTATTTTAGAAGCACATCCAAACGAGTCCTTACTCTACCTCACAAAAAATGTTTTTAGTCATTTTAAAAGCAAATTTAAACGATTCCTACGTTAATAACAAATCAAAATCTATTTAATATAATTTCACCAATTAATAAGATCCCAGACGTTACTTCAAATCTTCAATAAATGGAGTAAAACCCAAAATAAAGATAATTATCAAAACTAATTAAGCATTGTAATTTTTTTTTAATAAACGTTATTATTTACACTAAGAGAAGTTAGGGTAGGCCTCAATGAACCTCCATAAAATTCACCTTTAGCGATAATTAAATCTAAAATCTCTCACTCAAAGATGAATACCAATAAATCATAATACTAAGTGACTATTGTAAACTTTTATTAACAACAAAAGAAAGATTAACATTGTAAATTGAGATAATATGGTAAGTTGAAGAGTCGAATGTTAAAATAAACAAATCTGTACAATTTAGATATCAATTAATTAAGGAAATTTTAATGAAAATCTTCATGTACTGTTTGTTTTAAATAAAAACCACATTTTTACATTAAAAAGTCAATCTTGATATTATTCATCTTACCATTTATTTTATTATTATCGTTAAAACTCAAAGTTTTCAGACTATTTTTATTAGTTTTCCTATTAATTAACGGTGCAAAACAAGATATCAATTAATCAATAGAAAAAGGTCCTGTGAGAAAAGGACTTATGCCCCATGTGACAAAAAAATACCATCCACCCACCCAAAAAACAAAATATTTAAATAAAAACAGAAATTTCCAATTTGTTGTAATTTATGGAGGGAAAACCACAAAACCACCCCTGAAAAAATAAAAAAATAAAAAAATAAAAAAGCAAAGGGAAAGCTTGCAAGTCCCCTAAGGCTTCCGTGTCTCTATCAAGAATCTCTCTCCTTTAATTTCTTCCCCAATTTCACAAAGCGCCATGGCTGAACCACTGAAGCTTTTGGGTCACGTGCCGCGCACGTGCTCGTGAGAGAGGCATCAGAATTTCCCCCCGTGACTTTGCATTGACTGGGACCTTCGTCAACCCATTGTCGCGGCTGGTGATCTGGTCAGTCCGTACACGCTCAAAACATTTCACTGATTTCCATATATATATATATATATATATATATTTGTATGCATATATTTTTATGTAAATATTTTCTTTAATTTTTTGGTTACAGGTAGGGTTAATTCTTGAGAGAAGAGCTTTCTAGCTGTTGGGTTTGTGTAATCAAGTTCAAAACTGAAGTGGGTTTTCTGTGATTAGGGTGTATCGTGAGAGATGTTGAGATCTGGGAAGGTAAGGGGTGAGAGGGATAAGCAAATTGGTGTTCAAAAGAAAGGGGATGAGTTGAAGCGGGGCGGTTTGGATTCCGGCGGGGAGAAAACCCGGCATTTGGTTTCGGGCGGGGCAGAGGAACCCGAGAAAGAATTTGTGGGGGAGGGTGGCGAGGAGGGTGGGAGTGAAAATGGTGGAGCCGCTAAGAGTGGGAAGAAGAGGTGTGTTGGTAATGGTGAAGAAATTGGTGATGAGGGTGTTGAGAAAAAGTGGGTGAAGGAAAAAGAGGCCGATGGTGAAGTGCGAATTTTTGGGCGGGTTTTCCGATCACAGTCAGCGGCGGATGGAGGGGGCGATAAGGAGGTGAGCAATGGGGAACTGGTTGCGGAAAGTAGAGAAAATGACGGGTCTCAGAAACAATGTAGTGAGGGAAACAATGAAAGGAGGAAGGAAATGGAGGTGGATGGTAAAGTGCAAGTTGTTGGTCGAGTTCTGTGGTCACAGTCAGCGGTGAATGGAGGGTGTGGTAAGGTTGTGAGTGATAGTGTTCTGGATGCCGAAAGTAGAGAAAGTGATGGGTCTGACAAGCAATGTAGTGAGGTAAAAGATGAAGGGGTTGTTCTGTTGGGCCAGAGTGAAAATGTGGGAGTAGGTGAGACTGGGAAGAAAAGGAGGCGGGTTGATAATGGCGAAGAAATTGATAATGATGCTCTTGAGAAGAAAAGGGTCAAGGAAGATGAGGTGGATAGTAAAGTGCTAACTACAGTTAGGGTTCTGCGGTCACGAGTTGTGGTGAATGGGGTGTGTGATAAGGCAGGGAGTGATGGGTCTTGCAAGAAATCTTCCAAGGTTAAAAACGAAGGGGGTGATCAGTTGGTTGAACGGTTTGCAAAGAAGTTGGAAGGAAAGAGAGGGGGCCTACTCAAGGTGGAAAAGAATGAAAGTGATGGTTCAGGTGCCGTGCTACTGAAACGTAAGCGTGGGAGACCTAAGAAGGTACAAACGGAAGAGAGTGATCTGTCGGTGGGTCCGTTGAGAAAGAAGTCAAAATTGGAGCACAAGAGACCATTTAATGTGCAAAAGACTAATGTGGGTTTGAAAGGAAAGCTTGCTAATGAAGGCAATATGGTTTTGAGATCACGAGAAAGAATTAAAGTGAATATGACAACTAACAGTTCATATCTGGTAAGGAGGAATATTGGGAAAGAGTTTGATGTGAAGGCCTTTTCTCCAGCTAAAAGGGATAAAAAAGGAAATGATTTGGAGAATGAGGACAGTGAGGATGGAGAAGGAAATAATGAACGGAAACAGAAACAGAAGGGAAATAAAGAACGGAAAATAAAGCACAAGGGTCAGGATCGAGATTGCGCCAGAAGTAAGCAAAAACAGTTGGTGAGAGATAAAATAGTGGATCTAATTATGCGTGCAGGTTGGACCATTCAATATAGGCCTAGGAATGGCAGAGATTACAAGGATGCAGTGTATGTAACTCCAGCAGGACAGACTCACTGGTCAGTCACCAAGGCTTACACAACCCTAAAAATGCGTTGTGAAAATGGTGAAAATAATTCCGAATTTTGTAAGCCTAGCTTCAAATTTACTCCGATTCCACCGGAGGAAATTGACATGCTAGCAAGGATACAAATTGTGAAAAGGGTGGGGAAAAAGAAAGGGAAGAAGGGAAAAAATGGAATGGAGGGCGGGATTAGTGAAAAGAAAAAGAAGAAAAAGGGCGGGTATGCAGTGGATGGAGTTATTGGAGAGAAAAAGAAAAAGAAATTGGGTAGGCCATTCAAGTGGAAACGTTTACTTATTGAGAAGGATGATTCAGCACGTGCAGCGTGCAAGGGAAGGCGAAGTTTACATAAGACAAAATATAGAAAGCGATGTGGTCTGTTGGTTCGGAACTCTGATAATGCGGATTCAGATAATGATGGCCATGTACCATATGATGGGAAAAGAACAGTACTTGCCTGGATGATTGATTTGGGAACACTATCACTTAATTCAAAGGTGAAGTACATGAACAAGAGAAAGACACAGGTGCTTCTTGAGGGTAACATTACAAGAGATGGAATTCATTGTGGTTGCTGTGGAGAAACAATCTCAATTTCGAAGTTTGTAACCCACGCCAAAAGTGATTACTCTGAGCCGTTTAAACATATATATGTAGACTCAGGGTCTACACTTTTGCAATGCCTGCTTGACTCATGGAATAAACAGGATGAATATGAACGTCGGGGATTTCATTTTGTGGGTGTTAACAGGGAAGACCCAAACGATGATACGTGTGGAATCTGTGGAGATGGTGGGGACTTGATTTGTTGTGATGGCTGTCCATCAACATTCCACCAAAATTGTTTAGAGATAAAGGTACGTTTGTAGAGCCAATTATAAATTGTTCTAACTACATGAATAAACATTTATATCGCCATTTTATCATTGCCCATTCTGCCTTCTAAGACTGTTGTAAATATACAGTGCCCTTGGGGTATCACATTAACTAATTGCATAGTGGGAATCTGGGATGTCCTGAGAATTAACTGGAAGCATTTTGATATGCCTAGAAACTGGAGATCGTTTATACCTCTGGTTTGTTTTGAAGCAGATGAGAACTCTATTCTTATATTTTGCAGAAGTTCCCCTCAGGTGATTGGCATTGTGTATATTGTTCATGCAAATTTTGTGGGATGTTTGGCGGTAATATATGCGAAAGCAATGGCATTGACACTGACACTGACAATTTAGCAGCGTCAGCATTAGTTACCTGCCATGTGTGTGAGGAAAAATGTATTAACTCTACATTCTATCCTTTTTCGTTTTCCATGCTAGATTTGGTTTTCCCTTAATGTTATTAGTATTTGATCTGTGTTACCCAAATTCAGTACATTTGGCAAAATCTGATAAAAAAACTTTTCTTTTTAGTTCACCAATCCTGTATTCAGGCAAAGGATGCTGTAAATGATGATTTCAATGGTCCATCCTTCTGTGGGAAGAATTGTCAAGAGGTACTACATTTGTGATCTATTGTTGTAACATTAGCTTGGGATTGCAATATTTGTGTGGGCTTTGTGCATGCATCTGTAGTTTCATGAACTATTTATAGTAGTAAAATGATATTGTGCTGCATGCATTCGGGATCTGCATGCAACAGGGGCTAAAAGATTTGACAGTTTTTCTTAATGCTTCAGTTGTAGGAAGATTGCTTACACTAGTTTTAAAGAGATGCTTACAAAGCGTCATCTACATGTATAGGAATTATTAACAATGCATGCAGATTTAATGTTTTATGAATTTGAGTTGTTTTCTCTTTTCAGTTTTAATTCTAAGTAGATCCCAGAGAAATTCTTTTGATCAATTTCTCTATCCATTTTCTATTGTCGCCATTTGTATGTAATTCATAATGTTTTTGTCATGGCAGTTATTTGCGAGTCTTCAGATGCTTCTTGGAGTGAGGCAAGAAATTGAAGAAGGATTTTCATTGACTCTGATTCGCCGATCTGATATCAGCTCAATTTCTATTTGTGACACACCACAGACGGATGGTTGTGATTCAAAGCTAATTGAATGCAACTCCAAGCTGGCTGTTGCATTTTTAATAATGGATGAGTGTTTTTTGCCTATGGTTGACCACAGAAGTGGAGTCAATTTAATTCATAATATTCTGTATAATCGTGGGTAAGCATACTTTAATCTGCAGTTTTGTGTGTGTGTGTATGTCTATGTGGATACCAAACTACTTTTAATTGGTTTGGACTTAGTATAATGTCTTTGTCTTGGAATAAGTACGACGGTGTGCAGTATCTCACTGCAAACATGTTTGATGGTCATAATAATATAAATATGTTTCGAGTTCAAGGTGGTGGATGTTAGAATTATGTACCTAGGTAAAGTTTTGGTGCTTGACCATATGAAAATCAATTTGTGTTTCTAATCATGTTTTTCTAATTTTATGTAGAGAGCTCTACATAATTTACTTCGTCCTTTTATCTTCTATGTGGGTATATTTTGCATTCAAACAAGTTTGAAAGAATCTTTCATTCCATATATTGCAAATTGTCTCTTCACCACTTTTAACGTGTAGAAATATATACTTTTATTAATGATTTTATAATTTTCAATTATCCAGGTCAAATTTTAGCAGACTGAATTATAGTGGTTTCTTAACTGCAATTCTAGAGAGAGGTGATGAGATCATATCAGCAGCATCCATCCGGTATGTTACTGCCTACATCACAGTTAATCAATGCAAGTATCAGTTTCTGAATTGCCATGTATCGATTTTGTAGCTATATTTCTTGTAATTGATGCCAAAACTTGGGATGTCTCTTCGAGTCTTTCTTTCCAACCATAACTTTAGCAAGTAGCAGTTTAGCCCGGTTCAGAATTCTATTTGCTCAATGCTGATAGGGACTTCTATTGTTGAATAAAGGAAATTCTGGGACCATTGGAGTTTGATTGGAATTTATTTTCTGCTGCTCCATCTCTCCCTACCCAATTAACTTGGAAGCAAAAAATCAGAAGAAGTCAAACTTTCCTTTCATCTTCTCATGGCTAGAAGATTTACTGTTAAAATAATGGTTGTGATCATTCTTTAAAACCCGCTCCCCTTGCTTTCTTTATTATTTACTAGCATATTGGCACACACAAAGTGTGTGAGAAAATTTTTTATTTTTGTTTTTGAAATAGGAGTAGAGGTCGCACTTGGTACGATGGCAAGTGCCTTCGCCCATGAGCGGTAGGTCTCAGGTTCGAGACTTGGGAGCAGCCTCTCCATAAATGGGGGTAAGGCTAGCCGACATTCATCTCTCCCAGACCCTGCGTAAAGCGGGAGCCTTGTGCACTGGGTACGACCTTTTTTTTTTGTTTTTGAAATAGGAGAGAGGAAGAGAGTGATAGATAATATGGGAGTAGGATTTTTAAAAATTTTTTTTTTTAAAAAATTAGAGATATGTTAGGATTACATGTAGGTGAGGTTTTGAAAAAAAAAACAGCAAAATTTGGTTGTGTGAAATTACATTTATGCTCCATATTTCTTTTTCATGTTCTGTTTTAATTAGAGGGTTAAACTGATAATTTCAAAGGATTTTGGTTGACAATGAGTGTTTTATTAATTAGTAGAGATTCGTAAATCCTCTCTTGGATTGGGTTATACGTAGTTGTAATTCTAAGCAAGTAGAATGACTTTTATGAGTTTGTGTTTTATGCAATTATGTTCTGACACTACGTTACTGCTTGGTCGATCAGGATCCATGGGAACTATTTAGCAGAGATGCCATTTATTGGGACGCGCTATATGTATAGGCGTCAAGGAATGTGCCGTCGGCTTCTAACTGGAATCGAATCTGTATGTTCATTGTTCAGTTCAAAGACGCCTTTGCTTTTTTTTTTCTTCTTCTTATCCTTACACTTTCATAACTTTAAGAAGAATCTTTTTGTGTCCTCACTGTGTACTGATCCCTAACTTTCTATTTCTTTTGTGCCGTTTTTCTGATCCACGATTAGGCTCTCGGCTCGTTGAATGTTGAAAGATTGGTTATACCAGCAATCTTGGAACTCAGAGAAATATGGACTTCTGTTTTTGGTTTTAAGCCCCTTGAAGGTTCAAGCAAGCAGAGGATGAAGAACATGAATGTATTGGTTTTCCCTGGTGTAGATATATTAGAGAAGCCAGTGTCGAAGCACTTACCAGAAGCAAATATGATTCTCGCTGAAGGTATTTAGGAAATCAGCAGAAATGAGCATGTGTGGGTTTGGCACACTGTTTCTGTCAATTGTATCTTCCTGCTGACTTACGCTGTATTTGCTCTTGTAGGTGTGAGGTCCACCAAACTTGAGGATCAGCAACTCGAGCAAGACGTTTTATGTGATACTAATGACAAACGTTTGGCTGCGTCTGGAAGTGAAGCATCAGCACCCCGTGGAAACGAGGCAACTGATGAACTTGCTGATTTTGAATCCAATACACAGCATATCTGTGGTGTTTCTCAGGATAATCTGGAGGAGAAAAGCATTCCTCCTCAATCAACTTGTGACGTTCATGAACAGACTGAGGAGGTCAAAGAATATCAGAGTTCTGCTTCAGTTCCTGATGTAGCCACAGTGGAAGAGGACACCCAACAAGGCCAGCATATCATGCCTGAAGTCGAAAGCAAATCTTTGACATCACTTCATAGTGATTCTGATGCCGCTGACTCTCGTGTAAAGATTCTTTCTGCTTCCAGGGAGGTCACTGAAAAAATTGATTGCGAGGTCAGAATAGAAGATGACGCGTTTGAGAATCACGTTGCTCATGACGAAGGATCTATTTGCTGCTCTACTGAAAATGCCACTAAGTTGCAGAGCATGGTCCATGAAGCAAAAGTTCCTGATGAAACTACTGTCTGCCATGATTCAGAGACTACAACTCAGGCATCTCAAGAGGCAAGCGACCTTAAGCATCAGGATTCTCAAAATTTGCAGGTTTCAGGATCTATTTCCTGCCCAGATGGAAAGATGCCTGAAACTTGTGCACCGGAATATAACCATCCTGGTGCTCAGCATACACCTGCAGTGATTGTTGACGTGCATCCAGAATCTATCAAGTGTTATGGCTCTGAAATTGTGACCGAACCTAGCAAGGTTGCCAGAGATGTACTAAACCCGACTCCCCTGTTGTCTCACCAGAAAGCAGATGAGTTTGAAGGCAATAGGCTCGACACTCATAAAGTTGCACATGGGTTTGAAGGCAACCGGAGCAACACTTATAAAGTTGAATCCGCTCCAGCTGACAGAGATTCTCATCTTACATGTGGACGTGCCGACTCCCTGGAGGTTACTGATTTGAACTTAACCCCGGAGGAGTCTCAGAACACAATATCCGTAAAGCAATCAGAACTCAATTCTCAGGTTGATAATACAAGTCCCACACAGTGCAACTCGAGCAATACCCCTGCTGTGGCTCTTCACTGCGCATCCGTTGGGGGTACTTCAGAGGTGGTTATTCTATCAAACCAGGCTAGGTGATGTCGTATTTCGATATACTGACAGAAGTAAAAGCAGGAGGCTTTTCCGTAACAGCAGAGTCTCCAACGGCGAAAGAGTAGTAGAAGTATTTTGGCAAAGGGTTGAAAACCGATCTTATCGCTTGTTAGAAAGCAATACAGTTTTTGGTTCCTTAAGACTTAGAGCTTCAAGCCATGCTTCTCCCATTGTTGGAAACTGGGGAGTAAATATATAGTTTTATTTTCCGGGGAATGATTTCGTGCATGCTATTTTTTTCGCCTTCCGCACGCCTCTATTTTTCTAGCCGCCGGATTGAACAAATCAATGGAAAATCAAATGGCCCAATTTAAGAGGAGTGTGCAGAAGCTGAAAAGGGTGTGCGTAAATCACTCCCATTTTCGGGGTCGCAAAGTACAGAAGTTAGAATTACCGGACTTTTTAGGATTTTATGGCTTTGGTGGGTTCGTATAAGTTTTGGCCTCCTGGTGTTCATTGTATTATCAAACGATTCATTTGCTTCAACCATGAAAAAAAAAGCCTATCATTTTTGTATAGATCTCTTGCTATTCGTTTTTGAAAGTTTTTTTTTTTTGTTCACTGTGACAGAGGTATCACTAAAAACTCGTAGTGAAGAGAGATTCTTAAGCATCACCGGTAGAATGCGGCTATTTTTTGTATATAGACTGTTCATGCAATGAGACACATGATTGTGTTCAATATGTGATAAGGTAAAATTTTCTTCGTAATACGTTTCATCATTTACCTTTTTATTTAAGAAGGTTTTATTGGCATTCTAAAACCTCATATTAACTAAAAATCACGTGGAGTAGAATAGCCAAAGTTGATGTCTCTCATACATCTGAGTTTGAATCTCTGCTCTTATAATCAAGGTTAGTTTATGAAATATACTGAAGAAGAAAAAAAAACTTCATTAATAAAACCCCTTAGGCCTTCCATAGTAGCTCGGAAAAAGTAAGTGTGATACCAATATATTGAACTCGTACAGGAATAACACTCCTACAGTAGGCCGAAAATTTGAATGTGATGCCAATATTAAACCCATGCTAGTGTAGTAGTAGTGTTATAAGTATCAAATTCAAGTTGCCTGATTCTTATATATATATATATATATATATATATATATATATATATATATATATATATCATAGTCACTTAAACTATTGTAAAATGCCTTATAGAACAAGCTATATTTTAAACAAAGCAGTATTTTAAACTACTTTAACTTGGAAATGAAATTTGGACTTGTGATCAAGGAGAAAGACTTAATCGAACGATCACCATCACGATGTCATTTTTGTCTATTAACACAAAGCCATGTAAAGTGAGATTAACATGTGACTTTGTGTTAATAGGCTGGGAAGCACCGTGACTGTGTACCCAATCTATGAATCTATCTAAGTTTCTCTCATAATCAAAATGATAGACACAACACCTTAACTAACTAACTAACGTAACTCACGTCCGCTTCGAGCCCGAGCCATAGTTGATGTTGTTGGTCATTTTATCAACCGGGCTTGAAAAGAAAATAAATGTTGGGCTATTACAGTTATATTAGGCCATACCCCATTGGGTGGGTGTATAAAATCATTCACAAAGGCCGCGGCTGCCATTTCTAGGGTTTCTCTTTGCTTCACTTACGTCTTCACGGCACACACAGGCGCAGAACTGCTCCAAAAGCTTCAAGATCCAAAACCCTAGCAAGCCATGGTCATCTCTCTCTCTCTCTCTCTCTCTCTCTCTCTATACTTTCTATCTCCTTGCGTACTAATATATATGTCAAATCTCTGTTAATATATGAAGTTAATTTATGTGTGTGTGAATTGGAATCTGCTGCAGTCTCTGGTAGCGAACGAAGAGTTTCAGCACATTCTGCGTGTGCTGAACACCAATGTGGACGGGAAGCAGAAGATTATGTTTGCCCTAACCTCCATCAAAGGTATCGGACGTCGTTTCGCCAACATTGTCTGCAAGAAGGCTGACGTCGACATGAACAAGAGGTGCCCTTTCTCTTCGACTCCACCTTTCCAATTTATCTGATTTTGTATGAATATTTGAAATCCAATTGCTTTTGCTTAGGACTGCATCTGTAGGAAGCACTTCTGTTTGTAAAGTCTTGAGCACTTCTGTTAGAAGTGATTTTATTGTAACACACATGAATTTTTATTAAAAATAGGAAGCACATAGAAGTGCTTCCTCGAGAAGCACGAGAAGTGATTCTTGAAGAACATAGGTAGAATCTCCTTTTCTGTCAGAAACCACTTTTTGGACAGAAGTTGCAAACAGGAGAGCAACTTTCATGGAACGGGATCACTGCCTTGTGGTGTCCCAACCCAATAATACATTGCCATGTGAAGAAAAACTTGCACATGGCAATTCATTATTGGACAAGGGAGGCCACATGACTGTGAACCCGTTCCATGTTAGTCCTCTTAAAACAGACTTTTAGATGAAGAGAAAGTTTGATTATGCATATGTTTGCGGTTGAATTGTGATCATATCACCATACTCGTTCGGGTTTGTTTCATTTTTGCTTGATTGTTATCTTCTGGCACAGTCTATGCTTAAATATTCTCTTTTAATGATTCATTTTGAATACATTGTATATGTTGTGCTGGCTGAGTTAATTGTAGTAGTGATATTGCATAAAGAGAAACCTGTTTGTTGTCGGAAATTTTGGGTTTGATGTGGATGATTCATTGTAGGGCTGGTGAACTGTCTGCCGCGGAGCTTGATACCCTCATGACAATTGTTGCGAATCCTCGCCAGTTCAAAATTCCAGACTGGTTTTTAAACAGGAAGAAAGATTACAAGGACGGGAGGTACTCTCAAGTTGTTTCCAATGCATTGGACATGAAGCTGAGGGACGACCTCGAACGCTTGAAGAAGATCAGGTTTGCTATCTACTATTAGTAATTGTTCCTTTGAGATACGTGTCATTTGTGTGCTGCATTTGACAATGCCTTCTTAACATGGATTTCACAATCCAGTGTGATTGGGTTTTCTTGTTTTTGTGATACCGTTAGCTTTCTTTAGCCATTTATTATGTATGATTGAGTTGATAAGTGTGTGTAATGCGACAGGAACCACCGTGGTCTCCGTCACTACTGGGGTCTCCGGGTGCGTGGGCAGCACACCAAGACCACCGGTCGCAGAGGAAAGACTGTTGGTGTCTCCAAGAAGCGATAGTCTGCTTTCGCATTTTCCGTTTCTTGAGCTCGTTGCTGGATGTTTACATGTTAGCTTGAGAAATTTTGCTTCTTTAGTATATCTGAGAATGTTTTTGAATGCTGAAATACACGTTTTTAGATTGTTTCAGGGATTTAGTTTCTTGTTTTTTAACCCGAGGCATATTTTCGTTAATTGTAAGTGCACTAATTTTCCAAAGTGAAGGTGTTCCAGCATATTTCAGTATTGCTAAGTGCTCTGTTTCTTGTCTTTAAAGTATAACCTTTTCTTATCTGCCTTTCATTCTCTGATGGCTCTTTGATCACGTGACTAGTCATGTGTCTCCCTTGCTGGTCGCGTAAACTAAGATGTAGTTCTAATGTCGTTACCTGCTCAATAGATGTTTGTCACGTATTTGAAAAGTGCTCCACCCTTTTCTTCTAGACGGAATTGAGAGTGGGTTATCCAGGCGAATCCGATAGAGTAGCCTCCCGTCCAGAATGGAGTATTCTCCAATCCAATCCTATAGAGTTCCCTCCCATACAGAATTGGGACCTGTAAGCTGCGTTTTGTTCGATGGTTGGTCGGTAGATATTTTTTTTTTCTTACACGAGCAATATTGGTGATGGAAAACTCGAGACATCGGTTATAGGAGATTAATTGCTCCTGACCAACTGAGCTACAAACTCCGTGGGTTAAGAACAATTATATTTTAGGAAGGGGGTGGTAAGTGCAACGGTGGAAGACGATATGATTGGGGAATGCTGGTCACTCACCTTTTGATTAGATATCAAAGGTGAAGAGTAAATGGATGTAATGTCTTAATCATGGGGGAGATTCTATTGCCTCCTAATCACTTATATCTTCTCTCTCCTCCTATTTGAACGATTACGATTATGCCATGTTAAAATCTTATATTGATTTTTTTATAAATACAAAAAGAAAAGTGTGAGAGGAAGAGAGAGAATGTGATGGTAATAGGATGAAAGATAACCATACTCCCTTAATCTCAACCCTTAAGATCAAACCCAACGATAAATTATCATAAAATCGTTATTGCCTGGTAACCAAGAGAACAAGATTCCATGTTTATACAAGTATAATAAAATACATTGGACCTCCAGTCTGCCCTTCATCAGGTTCAAGTTGAAGCATAGACAAACATATTGGGCAGAAACATTGAGGTAAAATAAATAAATAAAGGCAGAGACGAAAACAAGATTCCCTATTTTTTTTTTCTGTGCTTAGAGTTAGAGGTACTGATTTTTACCTATATAATTTGTTTTTTTTTTTTAATGCAAAGACTTTGCCAATCATCCAGACCCACCTCTGAGTCTGCACCCTATCTATTCTTTATGAATATGTTTTTAATTTTTTTTTTAATTTGTTGGTAAGTGTTTTTAAAATGATTGAAAATATTTTTTATGAATATGTTTTTGAAAACAATTCTTAACAAAATGCAAGTGAATCCTGAATTAAAAAAAAAAAAAAAAACTTGAAGTGCTTTCTGCAATAAGCACAATGCAAGTGAATCCTAAAAATGCACTTGGAAGTGTTTCCTGTAAATGTTTTTGGAACCCAAAACCAATTTCACTAAAAACGCTTTTGATCATTTTAAAAGCATATCTAAACGAGTTCATAATTTGTCTCGAGATGCATTGTTTAATTAATGAATTTATCCCCCCCCCAAAAAAAAAAAAAAAAAAAAAACTAGCATCATTTACTGCCAATTAGCTAGACTTCGTAATTAGAGTTCTATAATGTTCCTTGTGATTGAGTGTGAAACAAAGGGCGCACAGAGGATTTGCTCGTTGTAAGTTTATAAGTTCAAGAACGGACCTCCTTTTGTGGTTTGTGTTGGATTCTTAATTAAGGAAGCTAAAAGGGAAGTGTTGGATGAATTGGTTAAGAGAAATGCTAAGAAGACTTTTAAAATTGAGACTCTTTATGAACTTTTATCACCTTATGTTTTTGGAAAATGTTTTATAATGTTGGCGCTAAAATTGACATTAAACTGTGAGGTGTCAGAGAGTTCCACTTTCAAAAAAGTCCTCTTAGCATTTCTCATTTGCTAAATCACTTGTCAGTTTCTATCATTGAATTAAGTAGTGTTTTTTAAATTTGTTTTCTCTTCTCACACTTTTTCTCTTGCTTTTGTCTCCTGATTTTTCATTATTTGTTCAATTCAAACATTAAAAACATTAGTGTATAAGGAAAAGTGTCTATGAAAAGAAGAATGCGGAAATCATCTCTTGTTATTTTATTTTGTGGAATTAATTAATGAATTCATGAGAACAAAAAAAAGAAGAAAAGGATCATCCTCATGTTGCTTAAAACTGAAGTGTGTGAGTCGACATCAAAGCATATCATGATCAAGAAATGTTACCCAGCAGTTACATAAGGTGATGGGGACTAAAACTTGGATCACACTTGTCTCTACTCTCTACTCGGGAACCTTCAACCAGTCGACAAATGTTTATACATTTTATAATACAGTTGCTTTTCCTTCAAAATTAAGTAATTAACTACCACATGCTTGTCCCAAACAGGCATATATTATAGCATTAACATGTTTGTTTGTCTTTTCACAAAATGTTTCGAAATGACCCCCCAATGAAGATAAAATCTCCCCTCCTTCCACGGGGATCCACAGAGTAGTTTCGTGAGCAAATGTAGTTGTTGTGACGATACCTTTCTTATTTCTTAGTGGAAGATCGGAAAAGATTTCTCTTCACCACTAACCGATCTAATCCGCCGTAGACACCCAGCTATCCCCACAAGGCAGGCTAAAAGTAAAGAGACAATAAGCAAAGAGTTATGTTTTCGTTTGTTTCTTTGCTTTGTTGAAATTGAAATGAAATTCTTTCTAAGGGGTGTAGGTATAATGCATGCAGGCCAAGTCAAGAAAGGGATGTGAGGGTAGGGATGACTCTATTTTTTGGAGCGAACTGTAGGCGAACTTGAAGCGTATGAATAATACAAGTTATGCTTTGGATTGATAGACAATTCCGAAACTGCTTTGTCTAGAACTGTTTTTTATCAAACTTTAAGTACAAGTGAGCGCATACAATGTTTTGTAGTACAACTCACGCTTAAGGACATTAGTACGAAAGTAATATACTTCAATGTATGACATTACACCAGGACAACACATAGTTAGACGAGCGGTTAAGGATTCAATAAACAAAAATCCAATGACAAGGATGTAGCATGGAGTAACAAGTAGTTGAACGTGAACATGCATGGTTGTAGCTATGCATATCACAAAAGGTGAAAAGAGCAGTCGGCCCCCTCAGCACATGCTTTTCTATCTATCCAAGTTAAGTGCATTGCTATTTTCTATTAACTTGCTCCTACATACACAGAGAGAAATTTTAACCTAATAGCCATAGCTAGCCAAGAGGTAAAGTAGGCTAGCAGGCTTTTTAGGTTGAACACTTGAACTCTCGTTATCAATTACCCGAAGTGTGTAAGATGTTTAATTTGGTGAGTAGAGAGTACCACTGTAATTCTGTATACAGGAGTAAAAGTACCCAAGTTCACATGTTTAAGTTAGACCATGATCCACATTTCCCAAGAAGTTGAACTTTATCATGAACAATAATTGGATGTAGTAATAATACGGTTGTACTAGTATAATTAAACCACACATATGAAATGTGATTTTCGCAAAAAAAAAAAAAAAAAAAAAAAAAAAAAAAAAAAGAGTAAATAACCATTAGCGTATGGAATGCAAATTTTCAATAGTATGTAACATTAAGTGTTACGAAAATGTATGTCGTCGAATAATTTCCCAGTATATTTGTACACTTCTAACTAAGCAAGAGGAGGTACCTATATACTATATAGTAATCAGCTGCTGGTCTTTCGTTTGTATTTTTGGTGAGAAAGTTAGGCAATGATCAAAACTCACTTTCCCAACTAGGAAAGTATACAGATGCAACAAACTAGTTTCAAACTTTAAATGGAAATATACAAATTTTTTTGTTACATCACACCAACTATCCCAACTGAATATGTAAAATTTAATATCCATGAAGTTTTATTAAAAAAAAAAACATTGATACAATTAAAAGTTGAACAATTTATTATAAGTTGTAACTACAGGAGCCTTCACCAATGTGCTAACCACAATAACTTAATTACTACACACTTTAGAGGATAGTAAATTGTTATTATTTTTTTTTTCTCAAAAGGGAGACAATTAACGGTGAACTACGGCCATCACCTTTTTTCGGGCCTGGAAGAGAGTAATTGGAAATTGCACCCTATCCATAGCTATGATCAAACACATTAACAACTTACAAAGTATCAAACCCAAAACCTTCTATTTTTTCTTTAGAAAGATGTTGTTTGCACTTTTCCACTGAGCCACTTATTGTGAACAAGCGATAGTAAATTATTGATATATAGCTTATTGTAATTAGAGTCACAGCTCTAGGGGCGGACTGACTTAGATGCAAGGGGGTTAGATGACCCTTACAAACTCGATGAATCTCCATAGATAACTTGGGTACAACCCCTTTATGCTTGAAGTTGCCTTTTTATATGCCTCTAACTGCTTGATAAACGCTTTGGAGAGGAGCCTAGACTGTTGGGCAGCAGGGCATGCTTGGATTTGGGCATACATAGCACAGGAGATGTTTTGTGCGCAGCATTTGTGCTGCTTGTCGCACATTTCATCTCCTATTATTATTATTTTTGTACTTCTTTATAATTTGAGTTGGTCGAAAATTTTAATTTACAGTCTAATCTTAATATTATTTACCTTTAGCTTGTTTGTTGATTATGATTACAAAGAAAAAAAAGAATGAATGTAAAAGACTATCCATAAATGCAAGTGAATAAAATGGTAATCTGAGAGACCAATAATATTTCATGCATCCGCCTCTAAAAAGCTTCAGTTCTATTTTTTATTAAAATTTTACAACTCGTCATGTATATTATATAGAGCTGAAAAACAGCTAAGCCACGAAACAAGGACAAGGACCAGATACTGGAGAAGAAGAAGATGAGGGACAAGATACCATAAGATTTGTCGATGTGCTTGAATCCAAACAAAAAGATGGACCGATCGACTTAATTAAATATTATACATACATACATATGAACAAATATTGACAAATATTGACGTCAATATTATAAACGTCTAATTACTAACTAGATGCACCGTGAAATCTCACAAACGCCGGCCGTGAACTCCGGTTCTAATTCAATGCGGGAGCCTCCGGCGGGAGACGGCATGAGGCTGACAAGAAGATCAGCGAAAGCGCCGATAATAAACTTGTGGGTGCTCTTAGGGTTCAGTGCAAGATAGCACAGGAGGAGCTCATGCAAAAACTCCCAGTTGGATTTCTTCTTCACGTCCTCCGAGTCTGGCGTTCTCTCACGCGCCTCCACCATCTCCTGCATGGACAGACGGAAGTCGCGGTAGGGATCCGGGGAGAATGTGGGGATCGCCACGCTGTGGTTGATGAAGAGCGTGCGGTCTTCGGGCTCGGAGGCTGATGTTTTGGACGAGGATGACGTGGCGACGAATGATGATTGGTCAACTATGGAGTTGGATCGGCCGGGAGAGGAGAAGAAGAAGCGTCGGGAGGCAAAGGCGGTAGCAAAGTCGGGAGCGGGGGCCTCTGTGTCGGAGTAGTCGTTGGAGGTGGAGAGGAGGGAGGAGCTGAGGGATTTTGAGGTGGACGTGGACTGGTCATCGTAGAGGGAGTTAAAGTTCTTAATCATGGACGTTGATGACGTGGATGTGGATGCGGTGGCGGTTGGTAATGGACGGCCGTGAGCGTCGTCATCTAGGGTTGTACCCATTGGTGGCCGTCGGATCTTTGTGAAGCAGAGATTTAGGTTTCTTCCCAATGTGTTTGCCATTTTTTCTCACAAATTAGAAGCAGCGACTGCACAGAGAGAGAGAGAGAGAGAGAGAGAGAGAGAGAGAGAGAGAGAGAGAGAGAACGTGTGTGTGAGCAATGTTCGAAGTCAGTATTTCTATATAGAGTGTCTTAGTGGCGATGTAACTTGTAGTTTGGTTTGAAAACCGCGACTGGACAGCCGTAAGGAGACTGTTAACTTGGGAGATTTTTTCATTTATCCGCAACATGTTACTAAATTACATGTTGTGTTCCGAGTACACTAAATTTTTTTGTAAAGTGAACTCAATTGTAACTCGGAACACAAATTGTTATAACTTATGTCACGTTTAATATGTGTCTAACCATTAGATTCATATTAAACACAAATTATCTATTAAACAGTCAAGAGTACGAATGTTCAGTAATTTCTTAGAGAGTTAATGTAAAACCTTAGATAATAATCATACTTTCCCATTCCTTTTATCAAGTACATTTTAGTAGTTTGGTGTTTTTCTTGCATTGAAATCGGAGTAAATATTTTGTGTGACCATGATACTATCATGTAACATTTCACGTTATAATATGTCTACTTACTTGTTAATATAGACTCGTGAAACATCAATCATTTTGTATGTAGGAAGACTAAATTTGCAAATTAAATTATATGTTACCAATAAAAATGAACACAATTATCAACACTTAAATAATAAATCAATTATTAACTTCTATGTCCTTTAATTTCTAAAATTTAATTTACAAATATAATATTTTTAGTATTACCGTCTATCCATTAATATTGTAATTCGTACGTAAGTAGTTACGTAAACAGCGTGAAATTATGATAGAGGTATTTAAGGAAGATGGAGGAGGAGTAGGCTGCATGTACTGAAACTAGAGGGAGCTTTCAAATCATGGGATGGGAGAAATTATATGTTTCAAGTTGAGATAACTCAGATTATCTACATACCTCTGCTTCTTCGTCCGTGCGCAATTACAATATTTCTGAACTGTCACCATTAAAGATTGATGAAGAAAGAGATTGATCAACAACGCTTGGATTTCCTTAGCACTTTTTTGATCTTCCAATTAGGACCTCTCACACTACGGGGTCCCATTTATGCAGCAAAATTCCCGAAACAAAGCCTCAATTTTTTTTTCTATTTTCTTTCTCTGTTGCTTTATCACGTAGTAATGTTCTTTCGATGTAAATATGTCATGTGTGACATGTATAGTTTGACTCTATATACAATTTTCACATGTATTAAACTGCTTTGGTTTAAACGAGGACATTCAAACTTTCTTTGCAAGCGGAACTGCATAATTTGGGCAAACCGGTTTAACTGATGCATATCTTTTGTAGTCGCATAACTGTGAGGGTGTGTAAGAAGTAAAAATAAATGTGTGGATAACACCATCCTATATATTCCATTGTTTCTCTCCTTTTTGTCTTAAAATGTGGAGGTCCCATGCGATAAATACAAGATCCCTACAAGGTCTTGTTTATCTCGTTTTTGCTACAAGAGATCGGAATTCCAGTTAAGAAAAGACTCGTGATGTTCAGATGTTATAATGTTATAATTAATTATCTAGTTTTGGTGCTAAGTTTGAAGAAAAATATTGAGTGAAGGTGAGGATTTTGAGGAGGGAAATCGGTAGGTATGGACTTACATATGGGTGTAAAGAATGGTCCAATTCCAAACCAAATCTCAGAATAGGGCAGACATCATGCATATTGCACATGGTGGGGGTGGTGGGTGACCCATTTAGTCACAGAGCCAACTAACGTTTTGCTTCAATTAGTGTTTCAAAACCCTATCTCCATTTTTCTGGTAGCAATCTACATTTTATTCAACCCCCTTTCTACGAACAAGAAGAAAACTAGCTAGCTATTTCCTCTTGTCAAATCGATACCGTATGAATCCGATCCAAATTGAATTATTAGCTTCTGTTTCGTGGGTGTGGTGCAAAGTGCAAATCTATGCGTGGCCTGCACATGAAGATCCACGATGATTGATGCATGCAACACAGAAAAGTTGTGTCTAAAAAGAATATATATCTACTTTTACTATTTTTCTATGCAAGAGGAGGACATTGCACTGCTAGAGAACAAAACTACCAGTGTATTGTACTGAAAGATCAACATCACATGAGGCTAAAGTTAATTACTAGTTACATTACTGGGGATAATGCTTGCATTTCTTCTTGGAGATTGAGTTGAGTTTATTAACTTATTTATAATGTATCTTCGTAGAAGTTATACAATAAAAAACCGTTTCATCTCTTATAGAGTAGTTACCTTTTATTAGATTAGTTAATTATTTTGCTCGAATGTTGATATTTGGCATTCTTTTTTATTTAATAAATCTCATAAATGCCTTACCTTCCACGAGTAGGACAACTGACTACATGCTTAAATTTCTTCGATCTCATGTATTTATTTTCAGAGTTCCGGGAAGGGTTCATTGATAGAGATTTGCTAGCCAGAGTCGCTCCTAAAGTGAGTCTAGCAGGACTTGCCACACGTGTATTTCGCCTCCAAGAATTTACCCCATTTTACCTAATGTACATTAGATTTAACTGTGGTTAATTTCCATCAAATTACGTACACACATAATCTTACTTCTGTCAGACCAATTAGGTTATAAATATAATTTATTATCTGTCAAGTCAAATTAATTGATATGAACCCCTCTTCTGTTGAAACACGATAGATTGAAACAAACTGTCTTTCCTTTCTGCATTCTGACCGCATGAGGTGGTGTGGTCGGACAAGGAAAGGGATCCTCTTCGATTTTTTTTTTCATCAAATCTACTAAATTCATCAATTTGGAAATTTGAAATTTGATTACATTGCTAAAATTATTATAATTTTTAAAAATGAACTTTAACGAAAAGCATATTTTGTCCTTATCATTAAAACTCAAAGTTTTCAAGCCATTTTTATTAGTTTTCCTTTTTTATAAAAAGCTCAATATATTTATCTGTTAGATTAAATTTCAAGAGTCTAAATTAATGAATTTGATGGAAGAGATACGAAGATGATCCCTTTCAGTCAAACAAGATATCTCTCCTACCTTTTTATTTTTTTATTTTAATTTTTATTTGGACGCTTAAGATTTTATTTCATGAAAAGAGAAAGAAGAAAAAAAAAATCAAGAGGAGAAGAGAGAAAATGAAAGAGATGAGAATCACCATCCGTTGTGATCAATAGGATATTATTTCTTAATAATGTACTTGCAACTTGTAAGTAAGCTAGAATAAATAATATACTAAGCCTATTTGACACGAGGCATTCAATAATTTATACGCACTTAGAATTTTGTTATTATGAGCAAGTTATATGATAAGAAATATATATATATATATATATATATATATGTATGTATGTATGTATATGTAATTGTATTTTTCAGTGTTGGTTGGCACACCATACTATTATTAGTATCATGAAGTTTATCTTCTTTCATTATTAAGACAAGACGTACAATATCAGTATACCTATAAAGTTCCTCTCCTTCCACCAACTATGGATTGTGGAGGGCAAGGAGGGAAGCACAAGAAGATTAGAAGTCATGCAATTTCAGAGGAGGCTCTTTAAGCATACAAGATCTTTAGATCTTAGTTGTACCATGGATGTCTGCTGGATCAGGTTTGTGTAGCCAAATACCACCAGCCAACCAAGCCATATGTAACGGGCAACCGCAAGAGAAAGTTCCTCAACCAAAAGTACAATTAGTTGCAAGTTATCTGTATTACATTATCCTCCGAAGTTATTTGGTTTATAATAAAATATTCATATCAGAATCACTACTATTTGCTGCCACACCTACAGGATGAACCAATCTTCTGCCAGAAGTGCTGAACTTGGCTTTGTGTAGCTAAAGTGTATCCACCTCGGTGCATTACAAATTTTCCTTTTTCTTTTGTTTCCTTGTTCTCTGGGAATAAGAGGTTACTGGGCACGGTACACCACTATAGATTGAGAGATTTTTTAGTGTGACAGGCACACGAAGTGGTAGTCATTATACAAATGATAGAATATGTGTGTTAAAAAGTTAATAACGTAAAAAATCAGGGGTAAATAGTTTACTACCCTTAAGTTTCGTGGTTTTCAACATTTAGTAAATGAAGTTTTTTTCGTCCCAGAGTCATACCTAAAGTGTGAATTTTGGAACAGTCTCAAACATTCGTTAGTCTGGCTGTTAATGGGCACGGTACACCACTATAGATTGAGAGATTTTTTAGTGTGACGGGCACACGAAGTGGTAGTCATTATATAAATGATAGAATATGTGTGTTAAAAAGTTAATAACTTAAAAAATAAGGGGTAAATAGTTTACAACCCTTAAGTTTCGTGGTTTTCAACATTTAGTAAATGAAGTTTTTTTCGTCCCAAAGTCATACCTAAAGTGTGAATTTTGGAACAGTCTCAAACATTCGTTAGTCTGGCTGTTAAGTCTTCCGTTAACTGATGACGTGATATTCATATGGACAATGATTGAGTGTCACGTGTTATTAAAAAATATTAAAATAATTAATTAAATAAAAGTAAAATAAAATAAAAATAAAAAACCCAAAACCCTATCGTCTTCCCCACCCCGACCCCCATCCCTTCTCTCTCCCTTCTCTTCTTTGCACCTACCTAACCTCTGCACATCCATCCTTCCCCCACCCTCTTCAACTCCACCCACTCAACCCTCATCCTCTTTGATGGCCCCGTTTCTCTGTACGCAACCACCACCTTCCTCCACCCCCCATATTCCCCCACTGTTAATCACTTTTTCTCACTCTCCCTGCAGATTTGACAGCAAATCTCGAAAAATTGACCGCAACCTCTGCACATCCATCATAACCCCCACCCTCCTCCTCCTTATCCTACACCCCAGCAACCGCACCACCACCATTGGCTCGAAGAAGGTGCAATCGATCCTCGTGCAGTCGCAGCGCGTGGTAGACAAATACCTGGCTTCTGCACCTGCAACACCCTCATGCAGTCGCGTGATGGCCGGTCGTTTGACGAATTGAAGACGACAGATCCAAAACCCGAGGAACACGGAACCAGAGATGTCAATACGGGTAATGTCTCGGAGCTGGATGAACTGG